GACTTACTGTTAATACAAGGTTATCAGTCTCTTGAGAGACCAGCAAAAATTGCCACAGCTGACTATATTTCAAGTCATCCAGGCGGGGTATTGGGTTAAGTTTTCAACCAGCAATAATCACGTCTCAATAAATCTTCATAGACTATGAAATTGCCTCTGCACAAGAATGCCGGTAGCACCTACGAGTTTTAAAGGGTACCTGTCCAACACAGACGGAACACGTGGTGCACTGCATGAACAGTACCATCACACCAGTGTAATATTGCATGTGATTGGCTGATTGACCACAAACCCCGCCTTTTTTTATGTGATGATAGTCGTTGGTGGATGGGGAAACCTGGCAGGTTTGGAATAACAATGAGACCTGTATGACTGGCCAAGATTACAAATGATATGCTAATTTTCTCTTACTTTTAAAAAAAATAGTCAACTTTGACCAGAGCACCTAAATGAGGACTGAGAAACTTAGATATTGGTAAATACGATTGATAGACTTGGGATGTATGATTCACAGAAAGTTGAACTTCTTTTACCGCTCTGGCCACGATAGAGACTTGTACGAGTCAAAAGAACAACAAGGTGGCCAAGTAAACTAAGAAATGCAAGACTTACTGTTAATACAAGGTTATCAGTCTCTTGAGAGACCAGCAAAAATTGCCACAGCTGACTATATTTCAAGTCATCCAGGCGGGGTATTGGGTTAAGTTTTCAACCAGCAATAATCACGTCTCAGTAGATCTTCATAGACTATGAAATTGCCTCTGCACAAGAATGCCGGTAGCACCTACGAGTTTTAAAGGGTACCTGGTCCAACACAGACAGAACACGTGGTGCACTGCATGAACAGTACCATCACACCAGTGTAATATTGCATGTGATTGGCTGATTGACCACAAACCCCGCCTTTTTTTATGTGATGATAGTCGTTGGTGGATGGGGAAACCTGGCAGGTTTGGAATAACAATGAGACCTGTATGACTGGCCAAGATTACAAATGATATGCTAATTTTCTCTTACTTTTAAAAAAAATAGCCAACTTTGACCAGAGCACCTAAATGAGGACTGAGAAACCTAGACCTAGGTAAACACTATTGAAAGACTTGGAATGTACCATTCACAGAAAGTTTAACTTGTTTTACCGCTCTGGCCAAGATAGAGACTTGTACGAGTCAAAAGAACAACAAGGTGGCCAAGTAAACAAGACTGAAATACTTAACAACCTCCTCATATCATGATGAGAGTTAAAGGGTTAAAAACCAGTATACGGTTCTAAGAACTGAATAGGAGACTATATATTACATTACAGATAGTAACTATGATTCATATACTCTCATACTAAAATGTTCATCGGCCTGATCAGAAAGAAAATGTATGAACTTTATTTTATTTTTCATATAACTTTGTTCTGTATGAGAATCAAAATGTTTGTATAATACATCATAAATCTTGAATGCAACTATAATATATATAATTTCATTCATGTCCAAAAAGTCCTGGTTGTTCCGCGAAGGAAAATGCGCAACATGTTTGCATTTGAAGATATGACAGACTTTGGATTGAAAGGCTTTTAAAGAGTTCAAGAGTGAATGTGAAGAGGAAGAGTAATGAAGAAGTAGGGTGCAATTACACCTGAGACTCCACTGAGGGGCGCCATAGATACGTTACATTAAAAAGAACCCATGGTGAGGTGTGACTTAAACACTTTAAATGTCATTGAATCTTTGATATAAAGCTTTATGCTTGACCTAAACTCATTAAGCCCCTAAGTGACATATACAAAACATCCTGGTTTGGTGGTCATATGACAGTCATGTGACTGTGACAGGAAGTGTTCTCTCCAAAATGTGGGTATTACAGAAATTACAGAAATGAAGGAAGTAGCTAAATTCAAAAAGCTTGTTTTTTGTTAATAAGGTAAGTTTAAACCAATTTAACAATTCTAATGCTTTAATAGTGAGTCCTGTATTGCATTTAACCTGTTCTGACCATATTTTATGAACAAAATAATATAAAACAAGTTACAAAAATGTCGCTGTTAAGTATACGTCACGTCACGCTTGTAACCGTAAAGTCGTCATGGAAAGTCTGATGTGACGTCTGTGTCACAATAACAAAAAAGATAATAGGCCACTCAATTAATTTCACTGTTTCAATTATTTAGAATTAATATCTGCCCTGTTGTTCAATTTAAAGCATATTTGAAGAAAGATAAACAAAAAATAATGTCAAATTATTACAGTTTTTCGCAATTGCTAAAACACTAAAACCCATTGGCTGAACAAAGTTCGCAGTTGCCTGAACTCATTTAGTTAATTGTGCAGTCTGTTGTCAATACCTTAAACCATTTCACATAGTAAAACACAATTTGCAGATCTCACTTAGACTTTTCAGCAGAACTCAAAACACATTCTGCACTCTAATGCACGTCATCCATACTGGTAAACACAAGTGGCAACCATCAAATACAAATAGAGAACACGTCATTGATTAAACACAACCACTCAAAATTGATTTCACTTGTTTCAAACCATGTGACACAACCAATATAAGCCAGTTCAGAGAGCAAACAGGTTGTTGAAGGTGGGAAAATATTGCTTATGATGTCGACGAAGTGCTCTGGCCTGACCCAGCCCAAAGACAAGAAGAAGCACATTGATCACATGTTTACTCCTTTGATTTTTGTAGTGTATACTGTAGTACAGTGCATTGTAGGCTGTATACTGTACAATACACACATTGTCTGGCCCTGAACATTGTGCTTTCCATTTGTTTACAGTACTGACTGCTCAATAGATGTTGACTGGTTGCAGGTTCATATCATAAATTGCAAAGCAGAGTATAATTTCTGATCAATTTTGAGCTACTATGATAGAACATGTTTTCATTCATCAAAAGAATGAAAAATATTAAATCTGTTTTGAGATTAAAAATGTACTTCTCCCTGAGAACTATATGTTTTGAACAACGTGTTTTCTATGTTTTGGTGTATTGTTTACTGACTGCTTGATAGTGTATATCATTTTGATCACTTTGTTTATGATTTGAGAGCAGTGTTTGGTTTTGAGCACAGGTAAATCTGTTTGGAGGCGAAAGTTTCATTTTGCTCGAGGAGTCAGAGGTTTTGTAAATAGTGCTTGAAGCTGAAGTTTTGTGTTTAATGTTTTCAGAAAATGGAGCAAGGTTTCAGAAATTGTGTTTTAGCAATTGAGAAAATCTGTAATAAAATATTTACCATATATGCCCATCAAGACTTATATGTCACAAAACAAATATTTGACATACAAAAAAACAACATCTGAAATATGTTCTATGAGTTCCACTTGTTATGTGGTATATGCCCCATTTCCTTCAAGGAGAAATGGGTCTGGGTTCTTATGGGTAGTAAAGAAGATACACAAATCAGAAGAGACTAATAGTAAGACAAATAAATATCGTATCAAAGTATAAATAAGAAACTAGATCAAAGTAAAATGACAGCTAATATGGGTAATAATTATGGGCGTTATGCAGAATGTTCCTGTGTGTTATTATTGATTGATTTATTTTAATATATGCTTTTTATATCGTATAGACATAGGTATTTTGTTGTATGAATATATTACTTCATGAATAGGAACAGTCATTAATATTTGATTGATAAGTAAATAGTTCTGTCTGTTGAAAATGATCTTTATTATTTGTTAACTTTTTCTCTTTATTCCTAATAATAAAGACAGTTTAGATGTATAACAACTGAGAACAAGAACAAGAAAAAAAACAGAAACATATAAAAAGAAAAGAGAAATACCTTAAAAACAGAAACACAGTGCTGGCGGTGAGATCAATATAAAAATATGTATTTAATGTAGTTCAGGCTGCTATAGTTTTAATTGCTTTTGGTTTAAAAGAGTGTGTGAATAATAAATTAACCATGTATACACAAAATGTTATCCGGTACTCCTTCAAAAGCAAGACAAAATCTTCATCAATATTTTCAACAATAAAAGCGCAAAGGTCTCCAGAGATTCTTTACACATGGGCAACGGAGAAACTGGAAAAGTTCATTTAACTAAAAAAAAATTGTTGAAACTGATTACATGGAATAATTTAAGTAAGAATAACTCAATTTAGCTTCAGTACTTTAAAGTGACACTGACTTAAATTTATAATTTCTATTTGTACTGTAAAAAAGCAAATACCCCCCAAAAAGTACTTAATCACACATTTACGTGTTTACATGTTACGTCCGATAAGCTGGCTAACGTTAGCTGTGTTTGTACAGTAATCAGTGAGCTACGCTGGCTAGCCATGCTGTTAGCTAGCTAGCTAACTAATGAATCTTCGCTCTGTGAGGCTAAAAGCTGAACGGTAAACGGTAAACGGTGAACGGTGAACGGACCTGTACCTGTAGAGCACCTTTCTGGTCTTCCAACCACTCAAAGCACTTTTACACTACGGGCCACATTCACCCTTTCACACACATTCACTCAGTGATGCATCAGGAGCAATTTGGGTTCAGTAGCACCAGGAGCCGGGGATCGAACCCACAACCTTCCTGAAGATTGATTGACGGGTGAATGTCAGGATATTATTGGTTGAAATCAGTTCGTTCATGCTGACGTCAGCACGCGTCACATTGTGTTTCACAGGAAGACACAATGAGTGAATATTATATAAAGATACAAAGAAATTTAATTTATCATGTTTGTTGGCATACATTGTTAAATTACGTGAACAATATAACGGGGGACGCAATCTTAAAGGCTTATAATGACTTTTTAAAATTTGTATTTATTACACAACTAAGTTAGTGTCACTTAAAATTACTCATAAAAGCTGCTTCAGGAAGAATCTTTTGGTTTACTTTTAAAATTGAGTTAAAACTAGTTAAACTGTGAACTCTGGAGTCACATTATATTATATTACACTTTAAATGTACAACTCTTACATAATGACCCGACTCCGCTCTCTGATTGGCTGAGCGGCCTGTCAGTTTATGACGCGGCGTCCAATGAGAGCGCGCGGCAGGCGATACAAACTGGCAGCCGCCATGTTGTGTCTCCGGGGGCCCGGAGCGACGTCCGTTAGTAAACAGTAGATGACGTTACCGCCCGCTCGGCAGTTCACAGGAAGCGGACCGCAGCTGGAAGAGATGAGCCGTCCGTCCTCAGCCGGAGCCGGAGCCGGAGCCGGAGGACTCGGGGCCGGGAAAGCAGGCGGAGGAAAGCACGGGGGATCGGGAGGCGCCGCGGCCGCCGCAGCAGCAGCCGCCGCGGCCGCAGCAGCGGCAGTGGCCGCCGGTGTGAGCTCCGTGGCCGGGTCGGGGTCTGCTACCCCTTCCTCCGCGGTGTCCCTGACCTCGGCCGGGCTGCCCGGGCAGTCCCCGGAGCTCACGGCGCTGTTTGAGTGCCCGGTATGCTTCGACTACGTGCTGCCGCCCATCCTGCAGTGCCAGGCGGGTCACCTGGTCTGCAACCCGTGCCGCCAGAAGCTGAGCTGCTGTCCGACCTGCCGAGGCCCGCTCACCCCGAGCATCCGGAACCTGGCCATGGAGAAGGTGGCGTCCACACTGCCGTTCCCCTGCAAGGTAACAGACCCCGCACAGACACACCGACGCCAGCTAACTGCTCCCTTCTGTCCACTTTTATCACAACTTCCTCATTCCGCAGCGCGCTCACTGACAGGTGTGTGCGCGTGGCCGGTGACGTCACAGCGACGCCACACGAACCAAAACAAACCCAGAGTCCGGGTCCAGAGTCCGGGTCCAGAGTCCGGGTCCAGAGTCCGGGTCCAGGGTCCGGGTCCAGAGTCCGGGTCCAGGGTCCGGGTCTCTCATTAACCTGTATGAGATCAGCTGTTTCAGAGGATGTAGTTCAGATAAGAAGTTCCTTTATTGGTCCTCTGAGGAGACATTTAGATGTGACACAGCAGCACAGACAGAGTACAGAATATAAAGAGTAAAACTTATAGAACCATTAAATATAAACACTGTATACAGTAAAGTGTAACATCTGATCGATACGATGGATGATTGATCTTCATCCCCAGAGTCAGAGTCCTGGTCGGAGCCGCCGGACATCAGCCGGCCTCCGTCACAAGAGAAAAGGTCCGTGTTGAAACAATCCTCTGATACTTTGGTCCCGGTTCTGAAGAGCTGCTCCTGAACGCAGCGTAACGTTCCTCTGCCACATAAAGCCACATTGAGCCGCTCTCATTGGCTGCAGCATAATGCCATCCAGTGATCCAGGATCAGTGGGAATGATGTTAAAGTGCCTCAACACTTTTATTGATGACGTTCAGGAGGCGTGTCTCTGTCAGCCTCTCGTTACCCAGAACACCCTGCTGCAGGTTATCGGTGGTGGATGCGGTGATGTGTGGTCACATGACCTGTGTGTTCTGATCCAATCAGGGTTGAGACTTTTGACTTTAGTAAAAGTCTGTAATGTTCAGATGTCCACATACTTTTGGCCATGTAGGACAGACAGACGGACAGACAGACAGACAGACAGACAGACGGAGGGACAGACAGACAGAGGGACAGATAGACAGACAGACAGACGGACAGAGGGACAGACAGACAGAGGGACAGACAGACAGACAGACAGACAGAGGGACAGACAGACAGACAGTTGGAGCCGCAGTGATACAGCTGGCTGTCAGAAACAACTGATTCAATTACAGACACATTAAAGTTGAATTGAGTCTCTGAGGTCAACTGAAAGCTGAGGAGGAGGAGGAGGAGGAGGAGGAGGAGGAGGAGGAGGAGGAGGAAGAATGATATCTGCACTTTAAAGAGAGAAAATCTTAAAATCACAACTTTAATACACAAATAAAAACATACAAACATTCAAACTTCAGCTTTATACTGTGTGAAAGTAGTTCGCATTCAGAACATATTTAAATGAATCAGTTGTTGATATATATTTGGTTTACGCAGATGAAGAGGAACTCATAGCAGCTCACAACAACAACAACAACAACAAATATAAAGTGATCGTTATAGTATAACATAGTATGGACTCTAGCACAATGTTCAGTAAGACACAGTAAGTTACAATAATGTAGTAATAATAATAATAATACACAGAATATAGCGTATGGTTTAGGGGCAGAAATGGGAAAATGAAACAGGACACAGCGTGTTTGCTTTTTGTTTGTGGAGCTGGTTTATATATAGTTTGATATATATTAAAAGATAATAACCACAGCAAATGACTATAAATATCTATAGAATGCACAATATGCAGAAAATCCTAAAAATACATTATAAAATATGACTATTTTCATGATTAATCGATTAAACGTTTGGTCCCCAAAATGCAAGAAAATCTCAATTTGATTTGATCAGAAACTTAAATATATTCAGTTTAATATGAAAGAGAAAGAAAATAAGCAAATCTTCACATTGGAGGCTGGAAACTGTTGTTTCTGTCTTCATATTAAAACTCACACAGATGTTGTCGACAGAGACGAGCTGCTCTTCATTTACATTTCAAACACTGAAAATCTCATCTGCATTCACACTCCCAGTCACCGCCTACATGTAGTGTGTGTGGTGTGTGTGTGTGTGTGTGTGTGTGTGTGTGTGTGTGTGTGTGTGTGTGTGTGTGGTTACCCATCAGCCTTTGCTGTGAAGGGTTAGTGTCTGACTGTTCACTGTAGCGCTAAAGCTAATTAGGGCTCGTCTGGTGGATGTGTTGGTGTGTACTTTCTCTTTAGATGCATTGTGATGTGAACGTGGAAGATTCATCATTTGCAGTTTGGATGTCGGCGACTAATTTCCAGAGTTTGTCGTTTAAAATGAAAATTTAAATAGTAAAAAAGTAAGAAAACACTTAAAATTCACAATTTATTTAATGAGGTTAAACATTTTCTAAACAGTCGTTGGCTGTATTTTAAAGAACCAGTGTGGAGGCTTTAGTGGCATCTAGAGGTGAAGTTGCACATTGCAACTAACTGAACACCGCTCGCGTCTGTATTTGACGACATAGGAATGAGAACAGGTGTAAGTGTGTAGGAGAAACTACGGTGGTCCTACCTGGAGTCAGTGTGTGGTTTTTCTGGACTACTGTAGAAACATGGCGGACTCCGCCACTCGAGGAGGAACCTCTGTAGATAAAAACGTCTCAAACACAATGGTTGTTACTTTCAGGTGATTATTCACTAATGAAAACATACCTGTGAATATTATTACCTTACTGACAATAGATCCTCGTCAATGTTTCACACTGCAGCTTTAACAGCCATTTCAAACGATCATTAATAATCCCTGAGTGGGATTCAGACAGTAAACAATGTCAGCGGCTAACGTTAGCAGCAGGTTAACGTGTCCACTGCGCTGAAAGTGGTTACGCATCGCTCCAGTCTGGTTATACGTTTATTTCTGATACAACATTACTTAAAACTGATAAACTGTGCTGGACTTACGAGCTGCCATCTTTTCCCCTCGCTGGTTTAACTCATCTGCTATAAAAGATAGACGTCTCCACTTCCTCCCACTGTTCAAAAATGAAGCCAAAATATCCAGATATGGCCTTTATACAGACTTTATCCATCTGCTAACAGAGGCTTGTCAGCCACCAGGGGGCGAGGGAGAGAGGTTGAGAGCTGCCATGTCGTCCATCTTTATAATTATATCCGAGCGCAGGAAGAGGACGACTGCTGTGCTGTGACTGTCTGTGGGAGCTGCTCCCTCTAGTGGAAATATTAATAACAGATTCTGTTGGAGTGAGGCTCTCTTGCATTGAATTGTGGGTGAAATGACTGATGTTTGCAGATATGTTGGAAACAGTCCTTTCTTTTAGTTTGATGCACGTTGGTGATATTGTGAGGTTCTTTCAAACATTAGCAAATAGTTCTTTTAATACCCCGATATTGATTCAAGGCCCCCCCCCCTCCGTGGTGCCCGCTGCTCGTCCTGCAGGTCACTAATGTGATGAGTCTGATCCTCCTGAGTGCTCGCTGAATTCTCCATCACAATTCAGTTGTTGTTTACTGGTTGTTCCTCCTCTTCCTCCTCCTCTTCTTCCCGCTCTGCTCCGTTTCATCCATTTTCCCTCTTTCAGAGATTAACGGGTCAAACTTAGCGACATCATGCACTGGTGGTTGTTGTCAGACGGCTACTATAATAATAATAATAATAATAATAATAATAATAATAATAATAATTTGACTATATTGAAATGGAACACCTCAGACAGACAGAAGTACATGCACTTTCCATCAGATTTCTGTCTTTGTGGAGTTTCCGACTGCAACGATACACTCAGACTAAGTTGAAGATATATTTTCAGTTTTTTTTTCTGAGGTATAAACAGTAAAATGTGTTTGTGAACAGATCTGAGGAGAGAAACAGTCAACAACAGAATCTGGATCCATATCTGATCAGCACTGTTTGACAGTTTGATCTGAGTTTGGTTGAGCTGGACGGACTCACTGAGAATGAGCTGTCAATCACAAGGTAGCCCCGCCCTAAAGCATACCCTGCTTTATGGTCTGTTTTACTCTAAATGGGACCATCAGTTACTAAATGAACATCATGCTGTATGGAAGAAGACTGAAACTAGAGACTGAGACCAGAAACTCATCAGGAAACTGTTTACTGAGCTCATACATCAACTGAGAAGTGGACTCATTTCTCCATAAGACTGAATGGTATCTGTGTGTTATTGCAACCAGTGGAGCTCCCCCTGCTGGCTGTTACATAGAATGCAGATTTAAGACTTCACAGACACAGAAGCTCTGTCCGTTATACAAACTGGTTTTTACAGTCGGAGGAATTCTGGGATAAAAACAACGACAACAAAAGGAAACAGCTGCTTCCCTCAGCAGCATTTACATACAGGTACAGGTGATATAAACACTGCAGAGCTGAAAGGAATCAGTGTGTGTGTGTGTGTGTGTGTGTGTGTGTGTGTGTGTGTGTGTGTGTGTGTGTGTGTGTGTGTGTGTGTGTGTGTGTGTGTAGGTGGAGGGGGGGGTGTCGACAGATGCCGGGAGGAGGAGGAGGAGGCAGAGCGATACTCCCCTTTTATTCTCTCTCTCAGCTTTCTTTCTCCCCGCCCCCACTGTGTGTGTGTGTGTGTGTGTGTTAATGTGTGTGTGTGTTAATGTGTGTGTGCTGCAGTGATGGTGCCGCGCGTTCGGTCGTGTTTTTTTGCCGCTCAGTCAGAGAGAAGAAGAAGAGAGGTCGAGAGACATTTATTGAAAGCGTAGAGAGAGAGTGTATTTCACCTCTGTGTGTGTGTGTGTGTGTGTGTGTGTGTGTGTGTGTGTGTGTGTGTGTGTCGCTGGTATTCACTGCCGGACGGACGGACGGACAAACACCACACAGCTGAGTGTGTGTGTGTGTCGGCATTTTGTGTTTTGTCTCTGCGTGTGTGTGACATTGTGTGTTGTGTGTGTGTGTGTGTGTGTGTGTGTGTGTGTTTTGGGGGCTTTTTCACCACAGAAGAAGAAAACAGTTTGTTGTTGTTGTTGTTTTTTTTTCTTCTGCTGCTGCAGCAGGAGAGAGAGAGGGCGGGCGCGCGAGCTGCATTACGGCTGCGTCTGTTTAGATTCACCAACAGAAGCTGGTACGTGGGTGTG